ATTTGTTTTCTTGAAAGCTAGTAATAATAATATTTCATAAGAAAATTTTATGGTTCAAGATTTTATTTAAGGTTATATAGTGCTTCTTAATTTCAAAGTTTATTAAACATTTTATATGAAGATTGTTATCTCTTTAGTTCACATAATTATTTTAAATTTTCCTTCTATTTTTGTTCAATTATTTATTATTTGAACGTTATTCATTAAAAAATTATTGTTGATCTCAAATACCTTGACCAATGCTAAACCTCTTACTAATCACTAAGGGCTTATTGCTGAACTGGGTAGATATATAATTATTTTGCTAATACCTCTTTTTGATGAAATGATTAAATTTATGTATTATATTATGAAAATTTGTTAGAAGTCTCACAATGGTTATAGCTAGGCTCTTTATTTTGTTATATATGCTGTTTGCTGGTTGAAAGGAGCTAAACTCCTAATTGATCTAATTTTGTGTAAAATATTGTATTATAGACTTTTTGAGAGGTTCTATTTATAGAAGATATTTTATTAAAATTTCTACAAAAATATTAAAACCTTTGTTATGACATATATATTATTAAATATATCATAATTTTAGTATAAATTTAATTGTGTTTTAGAAATAAAAAAATTTTAATTTAAGACTTAGGGAATGTGTGATATAATTCACACCTTGTGACAATTACCCTTCATTTTTGGGATGTGACAAAGAAAAAATTAATCATTTTGTTCTTATATTTTTTTTTACTTGATCATAACTTAATTCTTAAATTTTAATTTGATGTAACTAATTTTCTATAGTTTGACTCGATTATAACTCAATCTTTAAATTTTAACTCAATGTAACTCAATTTTTTTAATTTTATCCATTTAAAACGTTAGCCCCTAAGCTTTAATAAAAAATTTATTCTTTATAATTTTGTTTCTAAAATGGAAAGATCAATGTTTTAAATAGATAAAACTGCAAAAAATTAGTGGCAAGAGTCCATGCTCAGAACTAAGTTTTAAAAAGGTCAAAATTATATTGAGACAAAAATTAAAGATCAAGTTCTAACTGAATCAAAATCTTAAGGATCATAAATGATTATTTTTTCTTATAGTAACACAAATTTTCCATGTGTATAATTGACAAGGTGGGAAGTGATTTAAAAAATTCATGGTAGATTAAAAAGCAAAGGAAAAAAAAAAAGAATCTTATGAAAGATACAACATATTATCAATAAAAAAAATAAATTGTCAAAATTGTTACTGTACTAAATTGGTTCTAAGAAAGAGGAAATGAACATGAATCCAATGTTGTCAAAATTAAATGAACTAGTCAAAATACTAGTTCACTGAATTATGATGATATTGTAGTTTGATTAATTTTAGTTAACTAAAAAAAAATTTAGCAATAACTTTCAACGACAACCCTAAAGAGCCATCGTTGAAAGTGAACAATCTACTTGTATGTAAATTTATAGGCAATTGCACCAACATTATGACAAAACTATTTATCATCAATTATAAATAATCTAAATCATCAAATATGGTATAATAATTATCTAGTCAAAGTAACATAAACTTTTATTATTAACTAAAATTATTTATAAATTATCAAATATATGTATAACACTACAGAAAAATCAATCACAAGACAAATAAAAATACAAAATAAAAAACAATTGTACCAACCAATTGTTTAAAAATCAGACCGAATGATCAATCGAATATCGATCCGACCGTCGATCGATCTAGATTTTGGCCTAGTCAGCATGTGAAAATCATTTTAAAGGTTGAGTCAGATTGAGTCATTTTGGACCAATAATCAAATTGGAAACCAGAATCAAGTCAGGAATCGAATCCAGTTTTCAAAAACTGGATTGTTCAAAAAAAATTCTTTTTTAATTTTTTATCAAAATTTTTTTTAGAAAATGACCAAATTTTTAAACATTTCATATTATATTGTATCATATGGCTTATTAAGTTATGATAAACTTAAAATATTTGATTTTATTTTTAAGTTATATAATAATTTTATATTTATTTCTTATATTTAAATTATTATGTACATATATAATTTTTAATTTAATTATTATATCACCAATTTAACTATTAGTCTAACTCGATTGAACCCTATGAATCGTGAATAATTGAGCTTTTTATATTCAGTCCAATTTTAAAAACATTGGTACCAACATTATACTAAAATAAGTTCATGGCCTTTCTTTCCAGTTTTGATCAACTCTTGATTCACTTTTTATTAGTTCTAAAGAGATGACCAGTTTAGACTATTGGCTGGTCCTAGTTGGACCAATCAAACTTGCTGGTCAGGTCCAGACAACAATGCATGAACCTCAAATACATCTTCCTTCAGTTAAATTATGATGTTCCTAACAATATCAAGAATATGAGGCTATGAGCCTTTTTGATAACTCCCATAGTAACAAATAAAACATATGACTAGCAGCATAATTAAGTTTTTTGTCATAGTTATAGTATTCATTTGATCTTATTTATAAGTTATTTTTAATATGTTTTATCACAATTAAGAAAAATTTTAAAATTTATTTAGTCTATCTAAAAATTTATTAAATTTTTAATTTTATTCCTATTAAATAGAATTACATATAAATGCTTTAGTACTTTTTCTCACCAACATTTAGTAGAGGATAAAAGAAAAAACTTTTAATAAAAAAATTATTCTCTCTACTCCTTATAAATAGGATTAGAGGGAATAAATAAGATATATTGAAAATACAAAAGATGCTTATTCATAAAAATAATCCAATAACGCTTGAATTAAAAATAATAATTAAAAACAATGCATGCATAATCAAAAATAGCAAGTTGATATTTTCTTGTGTACAATATCATCCAAACCAAAGAAAAAATAAAAAGCAATGTCCATACATCACAATCGATCCAAACACAGAAAAGAAGCAACTTTCAATCACACCATGTAATGAATACAATTCATACAAATTAAAATGTTCAAATATTCAGTCTTTAGCAAACCAAATTAAGGAAAGCCATAACTAGCTAGCTAGTAAAATCTGATTGAAATCCAATAGTCTCCAATGAAGTCAGAGTTGGAGCTTGAATATTCATATCTTCATGATCACCTGTTATATGTTTGACAAATAAAAATAATTATGTACATAAAATTAATGATATAATATTAAAATAATGAAATATGAACCTTTATTATGTTCAGATCAGATTAAAATACAAGAGATTTTCACACATAACAAATAAAAAATAACAATTTATAGACCGCCTCTTTATCTCCTATGCTATACATTATTCTCATTTTATTTATTTATTTATTTATTTAAAAATATTTATTTAATATATTTATATTTTAATCTTTTGAATTTCTTTCACTTAGGAACTGATGATGGAAATATAGTGTCCTTATAAAATCCAAGTTAAATGAATTAGTGACTAAGTCTACAAATATACTCGGTTTCTTCTCGTGGTGACTCCCTCTTCTAGGCTTTCTAATTACAAGAACGTTTATTATCCAAACCAAACATTGGAATTTTGTGATTAAAACCCAGTTCTTAAAAACACTGAATCTGATTTCAATTTCCTAAATTGATGTTCATTATTCAAAGTTTTACACTCCCAAAAAATATAAGATATTTTTAAATAAATTTCACTCTCAATAAATTAATTAAATATTATCATTAATTTTTTACATTTATTATTATTTAATAAAGTGTTTCACTTAAAAATAAATATAAAATGATATATTTATTAAGAGTATTTGAAAAAATATATTAATTATATTTTGAAACATTAAAAAATATCTTATATGTTTAAACACTAAGTCCCTAAAAAAATATTTTACATATATTTAATGGAGGAAGCAACACGAGAAAAAACAGATGGAGCAACACTGTTTTATCACTCCATTTAGCAGTTCTTTTATGCCATAATTTAATAGTTAATTTTGAACAGTTTAATTGCATAGATTAGTCTTATGTGTCAGTCATATATTCCTCGTAAACTGACGTGAAACAGGGAGCAGAAAAAAGGAAGAGAGAAAATAAAAAGGAGAGAGGGAAGAAAGAGAGAGAAGGAGGGGGAATTCAAAATTCTTGAGAATTGTATTCAATAATTGCAAAAAAATGAATACACCTGAGAACTATAGCCTTATTTATAGAGTCTTAAAAAAAATAAAATGATAATAAATTAAATTTAAGTTCTGAATTTAAAAGATACTGATAAGATGCTAACCTTCTATTTTATAGAAGACAAATATATTTAAGATAAAAATAAAATAAAATAATAAATCTTAATTTTTATGGATAAATATATTTATTCAAATATTCCATAAGATAATCTTAATATCCTAAAATATCTTAATTAATTATTATCTCATATTTCATCATAAACTTATTAATTAGTTGTATCACTAATTCAAATTTCAATGAAGAAAGATAGGACTGCTTCAGTAGATCAAAAGTATGACTGCGCCAACATTTTGAGGCCATAAAATAATCTGCTATTTTTTTATATCCCTAAGACTAAACTGTGCTACATGCAAACTGCTAGACTGCGCTTCTGTGATTTCCTTCTCTCTCTCTCTCTCTCTCTCTCTCTCTCTCTCTCTCTCATAAAAATATATTTTGCAATTTAATCAAGTTATGTTATTGATGAAAATTTCATTTGAAATATCAATGCATAAATCTAAAATTTCAATTATAGCATACCACTGTTGTATATATAGTCATTTGTTAATAAAGCAAAGAATGAAATAATTAATAAAACTAAATGTGATGAAAAGGGAAATCTAAAAAAAGTGAATAATATTGTTTATACCTGCAAGATAATTAAAATTATGTTGTCCCAAATGAAAGAGAAGAAGAGTGATCATGAAAACCAAGCTCGTCCCAGCTCCCAAATATTATGATTATGACGAAATCAATCTGCAACGATATATATGCCGGTATTTAATTATAAGTAATAATTAGATACGGCCAGTAATTAAAAAGACTAATATTAATAATACTAGAACTAGAGTGCCTTTACATCTGAGAAAATAATGCTCCAAACCCTAAAAATCTTGACTGGAAAGTGGTTTTAATGGCTGGATTATCCCATTCCAAGCTGTCCCACCACTCTGGTTCTCCATTAATAAGCCTCAACTTAGCCTTGGCAGAATTGGAATCAAACGGTAACCTCTTTAGATTTGGACAGTCATACACTTCAATAGATACTAGGGAAGAGAAAGACAGGACTCTCTCATGAATGCTCTTAAGATTTGGCAAATCATCTAAAGACAGCAGTACAAGGGAAGAGAATATAGAATCCACATTAGCTTTCTCTTCTTCTGATCCTTCTCCCTTTATCACTTCTTCTAATGAGGTGCAATTAGAAATTTCAAGACGATTGAGGAGAGGAGCATGCTTCAACCATGTCAAATAATGTATTGAGTGGCATTCTCTAATAGTCACCCTTTGAAGCATGGATAGACAATGGGTACCAAACACAAGAGAATGCTCCACAATATTAGTCACCCTATCCAGGTACAAAAGTTGCAAATGCTCCATTTTTAACATTGTTGCCAACAACGATGACATGTTGATTAGTAGGAAGTTATCATTGCTACCAATCCAAAGGCGAGATATACAATTTTGTAACTTGGTTGAATCAAGTAATTTGTTGAGGCCATTCTCAGTTTCTATTTCTATCCATAGTTCCTCTAAGTTTGATAAGCACCCCAACTCCTCTAGGAACTCTTTCTCTTCTTTGCCATTATTTCTTCCCACAATTTCGATTGAAAAGCGAAACACTTTTAATTGTTGAAGATTTGATATTAGGCCCAATGGAATAACACCATTTGTCACAGACAAATTAAAAACCTTCAGATTTTTCAAATTCTTCAACATACTTGAGAATTATGATACTTTTTGTAATTCTACTACCTGTAATGACAAGTATTCCAAATGAATTAAGCCACCAATTTCTGCAGGTACATTTGGCACTCCTCTTAGTTCCAAGACTTTTAATCTACTTGAGTGTTGGATATTTTGTAATCCAGTTATTGCACCATGATTATATTCAACATTCAAACATAATGTCATGAGATTCCGCCAAGCCATGATTGGTATTTGTGATCCAATATCTTTCATGATTAATATCCTTTCAACCATTTCCCCTTTTTCAGCATTAGCTTGAGATAATGCCCATGCATCTTCTTGTACCATAACCTTCATTTTGCTTCCATCTTGATCACATGCTATCCATAATGCCATGTCATGAATGACATCATGCATTTTAATTGTACACTCCAAAAAGATTTCATCTTCAACACTTTCCAACAAGCATGAAAGCTTCAACTTCTCAATTATAGATCCACCATAGCCACACATTTCTCGTACATTTCTTGGGCTATCCGTATAAAGAAATCCCTCCCTTATCCATTTATCAATGAAATCGTACACCATAATCTCATAATCCTCCGGGTACAATGCACAATATAAGAAACAATTTTTGTGTGTTTCATCTGGTAATTGATCATAGCCAAACTTGAGGATGGAAAACACTTTCGTCTCCAAACCTGATGCTGTATATGAAGAACTCCTTAAGTTATTCTTTGAGTGTTCCCAAGCTTCCACACTCTCCACCCCAGCCATGGCACTTCCTACCACAGCTAGTGCAAGTGGTAGCTCTTTGCATTCTCTAGCCATCTCCATCACTAGCCTCGGAATGCTAGGGTTAGAGTTCAGAGTTTCCACACCAACTTTCATATGAAATAACTCTAGCGCTTCTTTTTCTGTTAGAATTTTAACTTCAAATTTTCTTTCTGAATGCATTTTCACACACACATCTTTAGATCATGTTGTGAATAATACTTTGGATTGAAAATTAGTTTCCTTTGGGTGTGGCACCCCCACCCTTTCCAAAGGAAATCTCTCCCATATATCATCCAATAACAAAACAAATTTCTTCTGTTTTAGGATTTTGTAAATCCTTGCTACTTTTTCATCTTGGTTACTATAATGTTGCCAAATTTGATCTCCAATTCCTATCAATTTTCTGATGTTGTCCATAATATTGTCCAAGTTAGGCCTTTTAGATACCACCATCCACATAACATAAAAATCTGTGATTCCTTTCCAAATTTATTATTAATTTTCTTTAACAAGGTAGTCTTACCTACCCCGCCCATCCCATGCAAACCAATGACCCCAACATTTTTGTCGTCAATACTTTTCCATACCTTCTCAAACATCAAGTCTAGGCCCACCGTCTCTTCTAAAGGCAACTCAATTGGCCTCATTCGATGCTTTTGTGTAATTTTAATATCCTTGCCAAACAACTTTTCCCCCTCATCTTGTAATTCTTGTGCATTTCGTAGAATCTTTACAACATTCTTTCCCTGCTTGTAGCTAGACATGCAATTCTTTGAACAACATCTACTTAGACATTTGTTTTGAGTTTGTTGAGCTCCACTGGTTTGGATATTTTTTATTTCCTATGAAGATAATATTTTTTATTAGCTTCACAATTAATCATCTATCATTCCATACTTTCAAATCAAAATTTGAATGTACAGGTGTACATTTACGTATACTCGTAGAGAAGAATGAGCATGCTTCATTTGTTAATATCATATAAGACCATGGGTGAATAACAAGATAAACTTTGAATTGAAAATTAAATTTTTGAAGAAGCTAGGAAAGGACCGATAGACGCTTAAATATTTGGCAGCTTAGGGTGTCCTTATCCTTTTTTTTTATTATTATTTATATTTACCGCAATTTCAAATATTTTTCTCAACATGTGGCAAGAGCCTAGAGGTGTATAGAGAATATCTAATTATACATTTTAAAGTTTCATCCCAATTAATTGAATCTTTAAAATTATTATTTACTATACTATTTTTTAGGAAAAAACCGATTTTACTATTTTTGCAAATTTCCATGCTCTATATGGCAATTTGAGTGCGCCCTATTATTTGTGTGTAAAGGTGGGGAAAACTTATATTTCCACTTCTAATAATTTATATTCATTTATGGATTTGGAAATCTGTATCATTTTAAATAAATATTTCTTTCGCCCCATTTTGCAAGACTTTTTCTCTAAAATTGTAAATATCAATAAAATCAATTAAATACATTTTAGAATATTAATCATTTAATAAAAGAGAAAAATATTTAAAGCATGAAACAACCAGAGGTAATTTTAGAATCAGTTTCATTAAGGAATCATTATTTTTAAAACAAAACATCGAAATATCTAAAAAAATTATTATAAAATGGAGCAGACGCTATATAATAAATTGAAATAATGTATTTTGTCTATCAGTTATAGTTCCCATTATATATCTCAATAAAGTAAATAAATTATATACAAAAATAATGATAAGATCTAACTATGACGATTTATTTTGAAAATAATGAAATTCTTCATGAAACAATGAAATTTGATTTACATTTTTTCAATAGCATAAGAATTAAAAAGTAGCTTCTGTTGTTGATACAAGAAATTATCTCCCTAAAGTATAGAGGTGAAATAATATGTTCCTCCCAACTTAGTTGTTGTATACTCCCTCCTCCCTTTATATAGGTTATGCTTAGGGGTGGGAGTAAGCTAAACCCATTACACCGCCTAAGACCTATTCTTATTGGGACGTAACTTGGCCTATTTATAAAGAAATCAGGCCTAAGGCACGTTTAGAGGCTTATATACCTAAATAAGTTAGGCTTCAAGTTTTAAAGCTTGGTCTGTAAGCTTCTAGGCTTGGCATGTTTAGGTAAATTTATATATTTTAGTTATTTATCTATTGTATTATATTCAAATTTGTATATTTATATATTATTTTATATTTAAATAGTTTATGCTTTTAAGCCTATTTAAAATATGAAAGGAGAAGACTTATATACTTAACATTATATACCTAATATCATTGTTTTCAATCATATTAAGACATGTAAATTTTGTATAGATTATTTATTTTATAATAAATTATTGTTATTAATTTTATTAACACATTAAAATTCACTTACCATAATTTCATTGGATATAAGTATATTAAGTATATAAAGTTGAGTGCATAAGTCTTATCCAATATGAAATATATAGGCTTTGAAGCCTTATAAAAATACATGCTTTGATAGGCTTGAAGCTCAATTAAAGACTTTGAGACCTAAATTTAAAACTTTTTTTAAAGCTCTACATATGAAGTAGGCCTTAAAAAGTTTTCAAGCCTGTTAGAAAGAAGCATATGAATACAAGCTCAAGTTTAGGTTCAAGCTTGAGGCCTATGTTATAGGCTCAAGAAACTTAGCCTGACCTATTTCCATCTCTTGATGTGGCTTATAGAATGATTCTTAAATCCTTAATATAAATTATTTGATAAAATATTAATTATATTTTTTAATATTACCCTTATTTAAATTCATTAATTATGAGAGAGAATGTAATACAAATTTAAAAACTTTCCATTTAAATAGGGATAATAACATTGAATGGTTTAATTCAATGTTATTCTCTTTTTAGATAAAGTTAATGGTTTAATTATCTTTCCTTAATTCTAATGAAGTAATTAGAAATCCATCCGAGGGAGTACAAAAGCATTGAAATTTGATTGACACTTTAATTAGTCCTTATATAGACTTGCTTTGCTATTTTATTTGTCTAAACATTGAAAGTGAATTCCCTGTTAACTGAGTAAAAATTAAAAATGTCATATTCTTGATTATATTTTGAAATTATATTTCATCTAATAACAATGATTTTACAAGTTATATGTTGTTTCATAATTAACTGAGAGCCAATTTGTTAAACTGATTGGAAACATGAAATTAACTAATTGACTATAAACACTTGAAATTAATAAATAAATAAATAAAGTGTATTACCTCTTGAATCTTATCGACTTTTTGCATCCAAGCAGTGACTTGATGAGACCTTTGCATGTCTCTGGTAAGTTCTTCTTCTACATTAAGTGCTTCCAAATCTTTCTTCGTGACTTCAAGCTTCTTCGATTTCTCTTCCAGAGACTGAAGATTCTCTTCCAATTTATAAACGTAAGAAGCTTCATTCTTGGGACAGCCACACAAAGACTTGGTCATGTCCCATATGGCTCCGCCTATGCAAGATGGATCCATAATATATATATATATATATATATATTGATGATTTTGTGAATGATAATAATGGATTTGATCGGACCTTGAGAAAAAGATTGAAACTCACTTCGTCTTCTTCCTTATCTACAAATGTGTTTTCAGGAATTTTATGTCCCAGAAAGCTTACGGCAATGGCTATATATAGCTCAATCGTACACAAAACAATGGAAGCTAAGAATAAAGAAGAAATGGAGGGGCAATATGGTATTTTCACCATATAGGGGAATGAATATAATATAGTACCAAAAAATCGACGTTCCTTGTTAGAAAAAAAAATAATAATCGACATTCATTTCTTCAGGAGACAATGTGGTCCTCCAAAATTATTGAGGTTTACTTATTTCCCTATATCTTTAGTTTTGTAAAATATTTCTGAAATTTTTATGCCCATGTTTAAAAATTAGTGTCGCAATTTTTTAAATGAAAAAAATTTAAAGATTTTAATTACTTTTTTTTGAATGTAATCGTTTCTTTGTACATATTTTATCTTAATTAAAAATATTTACAATCGCCTCATTTTTTTTAAAAAAATAATAAACTATTAATAAAAAACAATAATAAAAATTTAAACTCACTACATGGGGTTAATTAATTATATATTTTACAAAGAAAAATATTAAAATAATTAATATAAAATTGTTCAGCCTTTAGATAATATTGCATCTCCACTTATATTTTGGTAGGAAAACATCTTTTAAAATTCTTCTAATAATAAAGATGGTAGGGAGTATACTCTAATGAATAATTCAATAAACTAATTAGTTTTTAATCTTTCCTTTTTTTTTCGCATGATTTTTTTTTTTTAAATCTTTCCGTGGCCTGAGGTTGAGCATGCATTCCAAGCACAGTCTAGTTCTAATATGCTATTTTTCTTATTTAAATTTAAAACAAACAAAGAGGATTAACAAATAGTTATGTATATTGCCTTTTTTTAAACAAGTTAAGTATAATGCTTTTGCTTAACTAAGAAAAGAATAAATGAAAACGAAAAAGAAAGAAAGAATTAGGTATCATGCTTTTCGTTTAGGTTAAGCATTCGTGCCAAACACGGTCTTGCTCCCGTATGGTGGCAGTGTTGTTCTTTTTGTTTTGAAAAAAAAAAGTAAATAACAATGAGGCATAATGCTTTCTACTTAGCGAAGAAAAGAATAAATAGAAAAAGGCAAAAAAAAAAAAAAAACAGAGTGACGACTTAGCACCTGTTTCGTTTTTGTTTTAAAAACAATTTTTATTTTTAAAAATTAAAAATTAAAAACTTATTTTAAATAATTGTTTTGAATTTAATTATTTTTTAAAACTACTCTCATTTTTTATTTTTGAAAACAAAAAATAAATATATTTTAAAGCTATTTTTATTTTATTTTATTTTATTTTTTTTCAAAATGCATTACATTTGCTTATTGAGAATTATAGTATCTTGACCAATAATTATATAAGTTATTACTATTAACTGCTGATGACAATCAATTTCAGCTGATTTTTTAATTCTAAAAGTACTTTTAAATTAACACAACTAAAAAAGGTTTTTGTTTTATTTTGAAAAATAATTTTAAAAACTATTTTTCACAAAAAATTATAATGAAAAAAGAAGCCCTTAATTTTTACATTTTTTTTTAATTCCTCATGACAAAATAGCGGCACGTCAAAATTCACCCAAAGCAGAACTCGCGGACAAGACAAGCAAATCAAACAAAGCATGAGATAATTAATATATATATATATATATATATATTTTCATGTTCTTTTGCCAGTGATGAAATAACATTTTTATTAATTTTCTTAATAATAATACAAAATAAAATCAAGGATTCATTTTTTATTATTAATGATAATAACTTAATCTCTATTAATAATTTAGTCAATGTTAATATTATTTTTAAGTATCAATATTTATCACTCTTAATTAAATAGCTACTTTTATTTTAAATAACGAAATATAGTGATAAAAAAATTTAAATGTACTATCTTATCAAGAAATAATAACATTTTTATCAAGTAAATAAAAAATAGAAATAATGTGTCAAAAATATACAAGTGTCAATATTAATCTGCCAATAAAACTGTCCTCATCCATTTTTTTGTCTTAGATCTCGAAGCTTTTTTCGGTACGGCAGTACCTCATTACAGACATAACATAATGAATCAAGCATTGTGAATTAGATGTCTTTAGCTTCTATAAAAGAATAATTTAAAGGAATATTTTCCTCTAAATTATTGGTTCAGGAACCTCTTGTATTCTAAAAACTTTTTTATTGTGTAATATTCCTCTCAACATTTAAAAATTGGATAATTTTTTCCTTATCATTATATAGATTAAGTTTGATTGTTAATTGATTCAGAAAATTACAAAAAAAATACTTCAAAAATTATATTAAATCATCTTATAAGAAAATTAATATCATTTTGAATAGCCAATTTGACCAACTACTTGGTGATTATCAGATTATCATTGGTAGCAATAACACCAGTAAAAATTATTCAATATTAAAATGTTAATGTTTTAATAAGATATTATTAAAAAATTTAATTAATTATCAATGTTGTTGCCAACAATAATCATCTAATAATCATCTGGTAACTTGTCAAAGTGGTTGGTCATGGTAAGAAATACTCCCTCAATTTAAAAATGTAAAGTATTTTTTGAGAGGTTGGATGTTAAAAAATGTAAGGCATTTTTAGTCTTTCAAGATGTAATCATTACTTTTTTTCAAAAGTATCCCTATTGATTATGATTTATATTTATTGTAAGGTGTTTAATAGGGACAAATATAAAAAGATAAGGTTAGTTTAAAAAAAGATAACTACTTTATTGGGGTGAGATTTAGTTAAAAATGCCTTATATTTTTTAATAGAGGGAGTAACTTTTATCTCTTGTAATTTATTTATAATTTAGGATATATAATCAATATTAATTTTCTTATAGGATATTTATTTATAATTTTTTGAGTCATTTTTTTTTTATAATTTTAGGTTCTTTTGTGTAATTTTTTAAATCAACCAAGAGTTCAAGTTAACATTTATTAACGATAAAGATAAGATTCTACCATTTTAATTGTTCAAGAGGAATATTGTGCCACAAAAATTTAGGATGGTAGACCTGCGTGAACAGTTGAAAAGCAAAAATGTTCATTAACCTTAATTTAAAATATTATAAATTCATAAATTGAGAATTAAAGATAATTATGCATACCAAGATTTTCAAAATTGATTCTTATTAAAAAAATTAATTCTAGTAGCTAATTATATTTATGATATTGTATTTTTTTTTTCATTTTCAAAGGTAAGATTAGAAGCGATATTAATTAGAAGCATCGCATCTTGTCTTCTGCTTCCAAACGTCCATGGTGTCTTCGTAAAGAAACTATCTCAAATTTCCAATATCCTTGGACAAAAATTGTTGAAATTTATTTATTTAATTAACTGCTAGATAACAATTCTTAAAGCAATTTGAACTTGGGTTCTAAAAGACACTTTCTTCATATCTTGCAAATTAAAAAATAACAATTAAAGTGAAAATGAATACATTAACTGCGTTCAGAGATAATGATTTATTAATTTTTAACATAATTAAAGGATAGGTATGAACTTAAAGATATTTTATTTATAAAAAATAAAAAAAATCAAATAACAAATTCTCATATCTTATGGATGTTGGCCCAAGTTGGACACTTGGGGTTTTTTCTTAAGCCCAAAATATGGCCATAACGGTTGTTTTTGGTGTCTAGCTAAGGTGTAACTGTTGTCCATAACTTGATCTCATCTAAAGTTTTGTCAGGTTTTTAAACAACATGAATTGGAATTGGATTCCAAGATATGTGATCCCAAGGTTCACAATTTTTATCATATTTGGGCCGATTTCTGGCATTGCATTTTGGACCCATTTTCTGGCCCAACAGAAAACCAACCCACAATCATGTTTTCCCAACTTAGACAGGTAATCAGGGGGGAAATCCTTAACAATACCAACAAAAAGCAATCCAGTTGGTTGGTAAAAATTTGATTTATAACCCATAAAATCATAGGATTAAATTGTCTTATTAATATAAGGACCTTGTTGGTGGATAATTTGTAAGTATTTGTATAAGCATTATTTAAATTTACAGGTATATCTTAATCTTGATAAATTCTCAGAATCCAACTTATCTAAATTTTTTATAAAAAAAATACCCTTAACAATAGTCCACAGATTGTATAAGCATTATTGGACATGAAATAACAGCACATATATGACTTTACCTTAGTCGATGTCAATCATCATCAAAATTATCCAATAAGTTTGTAGGGTGTTAACTTTCCAAAGGTATGTAAATATTATTACAATTGGCTTTTCACAAAATGCTGGTAAAAAAATTGGCATTTGACAATGATATATGATATTTAAGCTCTCCAACAAAATACCAAGGGCCAAAGAGGGTCTTCATTATGTGGGGAAGGATGTGAGGGATCACTACTTTGGAGCTTTCTTGTTATAGTTAAAACCTTTAACTAAAATTGTTGAAATGGAGATAGACATGAGATATCAATTATTAAGAAAAATTCATTGTTTGTAAAATTAGATTGACCCCATTGAGTTGACCTGTGAATTGATGAACTAATCAATTTAGTTGATTGAATGAATTAGTCATTCTGTGACTCCATTTTAATCAGAAAAATTCGATCAACTCAAAGAATTAAATGAGTTGACATGATTAGATTTTATGTTCTTCTTTTTACTTTTTCCCTTTACTTTTTGGAATATTGAATCGTAAATGAAATATAAATCTCTTAATTAATATTTTTAATGTTTGTGTATTATTATTGTCAAAAATTATAATTGATATTTGTATAACATGTGTATAAGTATTATATTTTTCATGGTCAAGTTTGAATATTTTTGTATATTTAAATTGAAATATAGTGTTAAGGTGCATTTTTGCTAACTATTCTTTGAGGAACACCTAATGTTCTAAATTATTTGTTGTAGCAATTTTGCCTCTAAGATAATTAAAACATAACATATTTGCCCTTGATGTTAAATAGCACAACTTTAACTATTAAAAATGCTAACAGTAAATTAAATTTGATCAAAAATGCCACTTTTCATGCAAAATGGATCTACGTTAAGGTTTATTTTTATTATGTTTTAATTACTTTAAAGGCAAAATTGTTACAATATAAATAATTTAGGATATTGGGTATTCTTTAAAAAATAATACCTTAATGAGAGTTTCAAAGCTATAAAAAATCATAAAAAATTCAATTTCTCAACACTTTATCCTAGGGTTTGATTAACAAGGAAAATAACTCAAATTTCACTAATTAAAATAATGAATAAACCAAGAGTACTCTAAAAGCATGAAATAAACTCCTAACCTGCCATTCCAAACAATTTCAAAATCTAGTTGCCAAAACAGAAATTTCCACCAACCCACAAAACCAATTGGAGAGAAATGAAGATATCTAAACTTATTTTGATCATGGGAAGCCAAAACTTACTTGAAAATGTTCAGAAAATGATCAAAAGTAAGCTCATCCCTTTTTGCCATTGCTCCTCACTTCAAAAAACTTAAATTTTCCTTATGTCCTCTTATATTGGTGTCATCTAATTATCATCTAGTATTGAATATAAGCTTTCATAAAATTCATGTAGCATAGACCAGACAATTATTTTTGACCACATATTTAAAAAAACTAATAGATACGTTGATTTACTTGTTTAGCAAGCACTTTGTGACAACTTAGCTTTTATAATTTTTAATTATTTGCTACGAGAACACAGAAACAATATAAATTTTGATATGACTTGATTGTATTTTTTTATACATGGATTTTCTGTAACCTTGTAGTGGAGTGAAAAAAAAAAATCATCTAGCAACAATTGTGATATGTAAAAATGAGTTTTGAATTTTTTTTATTTATTTTTCAAAATCCTCCTTTATTTCATTTTCTTTTATTTTTTCCAATCCTAAACCACATTAAAGATCCTTAATTAGTGCAAAACCATGATAACTTAACCAATGAAAAATTCAGATGTTACATGTATCGTGTTACTATATTATAAATATATAAACAGTTAAGAAAAATGATTAAATTTTGCTCTAATCTAACATTTCAAAAACTATGCGTATATATATTTTTGTCTTATACAATAATCTTATTAAATTGAAAATAAAAAAATTAAACTAAAAGGTTACAAATGAAATTTTTTATAAATTAAACTAAAATGCATTCTATATAGTTATTCAAAATTTAAAGTCGGGCACATTATTCATAAATTACAAATAATTTAAAACGTCATAACTTGAAGAAAAATTTTCTTTTTCCATGTAAAAAAAAAAGAATACTTTATTTTATTAATATCATCAAGAATATGTTTTAAAATATTTTTCGAACAATTTTTAGACACACTAATGCTTTAATATTTAATAATTTAAATTAATAATTTTCATAATTTAAACTTAAATTAACTTGTCATATTTACAAATGAAATTGCGTTATTTTTAATTCACTTCCCAAATTACACCTCATTTCTCAATTGTAATAGCAATAATTAAAAAAAAAAACAGATTATTCTACAGTAATCTTTTTACACCACCATCCCCAACTCTGCAAGACTGAATTGCGTCTCCGATGAATCTTCCATTGTTTCCAGAGTCCAGATCCATAGGCATGATTCTCATTTTCAATTCTCTTCAATATCAGCTATAATCCTTCAATACGATCTTGAACTTAACTTCTCTCAATGGACATTCTCTTCGCTGAAATCCAAGCAGACATTCGCTCCAATGACGCACTTCGGCAATCCGGGGCTCTTCTTCTAGCTCTGCAACAGTCAGCCGCCGGCCGTGATATCTCTGTCATTGCCAAATCCGCCGTGGAAGAAATTGTCGCCGCTCCTGCTTCTGCAGTCTGTAAAAAGCTTGCCTTCGATCTCATCCGCTCCACCCGTCTCACCCCTGACCTGTGGGAGACCGTCTGCAACGGAGTCCGCTCGGACTTCCACTTCCCGGACCCCGATGTAACCGCTGCCGCTGTCTCCATTCTCGCTGCCATCCCTTCTTATCGTCTGGGAAGGCTCATCACGGACTGTAACAAAGAGATCTCTGACTGTTTCGACTCGCCCAGCGACAATCTTAGGTTTTCGATCACAGAGACCTTAGGCTGTGTTCTTGCTCGCGATGATCTTGTCACGCTGTGCGAGAACAACGTCAATTTACTCGATAGGGTTTCCAGTTGGTGGACGCGTATTGGGCAAAACATGCTTGACAAATCTGATAATGTTTGCAAAGTTGCATTTGAGTCCGTTGGGAGGTTGTTTCAGGAGTTCAATTCCAAGAGAATGAGCAGGTTGGCTGGTGACAAGCTGGTCGACAGCGAGAATTCGCTCGCCATTCGATCCAATTGGGTCTCATCCATGGTGGACTTTGTGTGGAAGAAGCGTAACGCTTTGATGGCTAGGTCTCTGATATTGCCTGTGGAGAGTTTCAGAGTAACAGTGTTCCCTATTGTGTATGCAGTGAAGGCAGTAGCGTCGGGTGGGTACCAGGTTATTCGTAACCTTTCAAAGTCGTCTGGTACCGTGAATGGGAGTGTTAGGGTTGATTCCAATGCTGAAAAACTAGTTGGAGTTTCAGATGTGGTTTCACATTTAGCACCGTTCCTAGTTTCTTCACTGGAACCGGCATTGATTTTTGAAGTAGGGATTAATATGCTTTACCTGGCTGATGTGCCTGGGGGGAAGCCTGAATGGGCATCGCAGTCAATTATTGCAATTCTTACACTGTGGGATAGACAAGAATTCTCTTCTGCCAGAGAAAGTATAGTTAGGGCCGTTGTCACGAATCTTCATCTCCTTGATCTTAATATGCAGGTGACTTTCCCTTGTCTAACTCTAAAATACTCCAATCCAAAGTAACAGTGTCTCTGTTTATACGTTTTGCTCTTTAGTCTTTGCTGGTCCTAAATGCGTAACCAGCCTTCTACTAGATGACAGGGCAACTTGAAGCATTTAGTGTGGTTTAGTTGTAAGAAGTTTTTGCAGCTTACATGAGATCTTAGGCTGAAGCTTTCTTCCCGCATACTAAAAGAAAGTAAAGGACCGCTTTCACCTGAGAGAATAACGTCATAATATTACTGGTTTTCTTATGAAGCTTGGAAACTTATGGGAGAAACTGTAGGTAGCTAGATATTTTTGTTATCTTAATTATTAACTTATGGGAGAAACAGTGCGTAGCTAGATTTTTTGTTTTTATCTTAATTATTAATATACAATATGCTTTCGTTTACTTTTCTGCTGATTTTTAATGGCTGTTATGTTTAAATTTTGTGTCATTTTATCTTAGTGCTAAAGGATTATACGAATAAAGATTTAGATGGTTTCTGAGAAAAACTCAATATTGCTTGATATTTGAATGCCTATTCATGGTTAAGATAAGGCATCCATTAATTATTTATGAATGGTCATGTGTAGGTATCATTGTTCAAGAGGCTACTTTTAATGGTGAGAAATCTTAGAGCAGAATCTGATCGCATGCATGCTTTAGCATGTATATGTCGAACAGCTCTTTGTGTTGATCTTTTTGCCAAGGAAAGTGTCCGAAGAGGTCAGAAGCCTCTTGCTGGAACTGATATTGCTTCTCTTTTTGAGGATGCTAGAGTCAAAGATGATCTTAATAGCATTACAAGTAAAAGCATATTTAGGGAGGAGTTAGTTGCATCACTAGTGGAAAGTTGTTTTCAGTTGTCTTTGCCTTTGCCTGAGCAGAAGAACTCAGGAATGGAGAGCAGGGTTATAGGAGCCCTGGCATATGGAACTGGTTATGGTGCATTAAATTGGACAGAGCCTGCTTTGGAAGTGGTGGAAGTTTGTCGGCCTTGTGTTAAATGGGACTGTGATGGTCGGACCTATGCAATTGACTGCTACTTGAAGTTGCTTGTTAGACTATGCTACATATATGATACAAGGGGTGGTGTAAAAAGAGTCAAAGATGGAGCCTCTCAGGATCAAATTTTGAATGAGACGAGATTGCAAAATTTGCAACGGGAACTCGTTAAAGACTTACATGAGGTAGGATTTCTCATACTGAGCAATGCATCTAGTGGCATATATCATTCAGAAAGTGATTCAAATCATTGCCAGGGTGAAAAAGTGTTTAAATATCATGTTTTTCCCGTTCTGTTTTTAGAATATATTTCTGCCATGTTTGCACAGCATCACATGGTTCCTATTATAGCACAAGGATGCTTTTCTTGAAAAGAAATCTGACTAGCCAATGTCCTCCCTCTTTCACCTTATTTTATGGAGTCACGTCTTTTTGAAACCTAAACCTATTGTCTTCTACCTCTCTGTTGATATTGTGGTCCTTTACAGTTTACTTGCTTCCAAAGCTTCTACCATGAAGTCAATAAAACTTGGGTGATGACCGTGTTGCATGGATGAAACAACATCCTGTCAAGCCAAATTGCTGCTCCATGCGTTAGTTTCCCGTATGATATAAAAGATGTGTTTTCTAAAACTATAGAAGATTGCTAGAAAAAAGAAAAAAATATATGTATGACCTTGAGGATTTGAAGAGGCGTGGCTCAAGATCTTTGTCCAAAACTAATTCAACCCAAAAGCTTAAGCTATTATGTGAAAACCCATTATTGGTTTTTATTAATATATTTTACATGCCCCTCATGCAAAATCCTTTTAGGGTTGAAGCATGAAGAAAACATAAGCTTGTTGCCTATCAAAGATTGCATATAAATCCAGTTAATTGGGGAGATAGCAGCAGCAAGGATCAAACTATTGTCCACCTGGTCATATTGACGCTAAAAACTGTCAAGGATTATTTTGGTTTTTTCCTGACAGTTTTGATTTGGAAAGGGAAGCATTTGTCTTATTTTGTTATTTTTCACAAAAGGAAATGTAGAGACAGTGAATGATGATATTGATCCTCAAGAGGATTAAGACTAGTGAATTGTGATTTATAATTTTGTACGTTTTATTCTTAAATCCATTTGAGGGTTATGATGACTTGAATGTTGATATGTTACTTTGTGGATTTGAATCTTAGGTCCATGATTTACTGTCACGACATCGCATATTAATAAACATGTCTTATTTTTTGTCATGCATTGATATTTGCCCCTTTTTAAATAATTGAGTTTTGATTAATCGTGTTATACATGCAATTCAATTTTTCTTTAAATTTTGGTCATGAATATTTCGATTTACAGTCCAAAGAGTTGTTTTACCTTGACAGAAAATGTAGTATCTATTGGTTATAACTTATAACTATATGTGATATACTTAAAATGAATGTTTCCTAATTTCAGCCATAATCTATACTAAGATTCTTATTGAAAGAATGTGATTTGATTTTACCCCTGTAGATTTGTTCTTTACTATTTTATTTGTCATCAATAACTAAATCCTGGATTACTTTATTTTTTCTCGCACATTTGGTTTGCTGTACTTATGTGACCTCAAATTAGTTGCTTGGTTCTTAATGTAGAAATTGAATTACTGTTCTCTGTTTGGAAATTATCTTGCATTTTTGTCATTGTGACAGGTGAATACCCCAAGAATATTGGCCCGACTTATTTGGGCTATTTCAGAACACATAGATATAGAAGGATTAGATCCACTCCTAGCTGATGATCCAAGTGATCCCCTCAATGTCATTATATCAAATATTCACAAGGTTCTTTTTAACATAGATTCATCTGCGGAAACAACCAATAGAGTTCAAGATGTCCAGGCAGTTCTTTTATCTGCTCAACGTTTGGGATCGCGCCACCCGAGGGCTGGACAGTTACTTACTAAGGAGCTGGAGGAGTTTAGGAACAGTACTTTGGCTGATTCTGTTAGCAAACATCAATGCCGTTTTATGTTGCAAAGAATTAAATATGCTTCAAATCATCCAGAGAGTAGGTGAGAATATTTTGCAAAATTTGTACTTTCCACTACTCCCATAGGTATCCTGACTTGGATTTTCATTGGACATTTTTACTTCTTTATATCTTTTCATCTATTTAAATTCTTGCGATCTGTTACACTCCTGACTTTTGATTTTCCTGCCTCAATTAGCATTGTTAGCATTGTGATGTTTCTTCTGTAGTTTTAGTATTGATTTCCATTTCATAGAAGCAGGCCTCAAAATCTTAATTTTTTTTTTTAAGTAAAAGCTCCAAAATTGTGTGACTCGTGACCCACTCTGGAACTGTTCCGATCTCACTAGTCCTAAATCAGTCATCTCAGGCTGTGGGAAATGCAGTCCGAGATAAAATTGGGCTGGGTAGAAAAATTAGCTCAGTCTGATGTCCCCCATATTTCCTGAGCCCATGCTTTCTTTTCGTGAGTTATCTATAAAAAAATGTTCTGCAAATGTTCTTATTCTGACATTGTCAGTAAATTCCATTGCTGGTCACTATAAAAAGCTAAAATATGATGTAAACCAATTCCTTTGGCATTTATCCATTTTTCTGATGTTGATTTTTGCCATGTGATAAATTTAATTCATCAGGTGATAACTGGTAATTGTGCTTCCTTTTTCAGGTGGGCAGGGGTTACTGCAGCTAGAGGGGATTACCCATTTAGCCATCACAAATTAACCGTTCAATTTTATGAATCATCTGCTGCTCAAGATAGAAAATTGGAAGGATTGGTTCATAAGGCTATTTTGGAGCTCTGGAGGCCAGACCCTAGTGAACTAACCCTCTTACTGACAAAAGGGATTGATTCTACTTTACTGAAAGTTCCTCCTACTGCAATTACGTTGAGTGGCAGTAGCGATCCCTGTTATGTTGAAGGTTACCATTTAGCTGACCCTGCTGATGGGCGTATCAGTCTGCATTTAAAGGTTAAAGCCTTCTTGATTTGTTCTTTCATAATTAGTCATTTGAGAATTAGTTGTTTTAGGTTATGGCTTGTTCAGATAATTTAAGCAGGATATTTTCATTGACAATATTGTGGTGGTAATGTTTGATGGCAGAGAATGTCCCACATCTGATGGGTGAGACACACAAGGATCTTTTTTTAGTGGACATTCTTCCCTCTTATCAGCCTTGTAGGATTGAATTTTACTTGAGATTTGAGGTTACCTTGACTAGAATTTTTCTAAGAATTGCATTACGTGGTACATTTAATTTGATGCACCGTCGTTGCTTCATTTTAAAATCTTGACAAATTTTCAGACAGATTGTCTGCTGTTTTTTCAAGCAAAGTTCCGTCATATTGTTTTGAGGAAATTACTTTCTTGCTTATGAATATAGTCAAATTAAAAATTGAAAAAATAAGGGATGGATTAACCATTGTATTTTAAGCATGCAGTTGCTGATGATATTGATTAATTAGAAGCCTGAAAGTAGACTGATGTTAATTTCTAACGCTACATATAAATCTGTCTTTGTCATCAATTTGGAAACTAATATATCTCACTGAAGGTGCTCTCTGAGACATAGGATTATAGAGGGAGGCATTTGTTTTCTTGGCAAAATTTTATCTAACTGCTGTAACATGTCTATTCCAGCATTTCCCATTGACTATGAGTAAAAATGTTTCAGATCTTAAATTTAACTGAGCTTCAACTAGACCGAGTGGATGTCCGGGTGGGACTAACTGGTGCCCTGTATTATATGGATGGTTCTTCTCAAGCAGTTCGGCAGTTGCGTAATCTTGTTTCCCAGGTTTCTTCTCCTTCTAAGCTAAAGTGCATTCTATTTCTATGTTTGCTTTTACCTGTTTTGAATGTTACTATTTTTGGATGTGCTTCTTCTGGGTTATTCTGCATGTGTCTCAAGTCCAATGGGTATGTCTGTTCTCCTGAGGGAGTTGACTTAGTTACATTGTGTTTACGGCTTCTCTTTGATGTCTTTCTCATAGGGAGTCATCTTTTCTAATATGCAAAGACAATGCGCAGCTCTTCTTCACCGTTTACTATTATACTGCCTCTGTAACTTTTTTTTTTTTTTGAGATTTTATTGGTTCTTTCTTGATTGAGGATTCTTAACCCAAAAAAATGTGTACTTTCTTCTCTTAAACTGAGGTTTCCATTGTTTCCTCAGATAATTCTGTGCTACTAATAGTGTACTCCCTCTCTTTTTTATCACAAGAGAAACTACTTGTTTCAGTGTTTTGTTATAACTTATAAGTCAAGCTGCAAATTTCAAAAAGCATTTATTACATTTTCCCATAATATTTCTAAAATCTTTGTTAGTGATAGAGCACAATAGCATTGTGTAATCCATGTAGTCAACACCACCTAGTGGGATAAGACTTGTTGTTGTTATTGTACATTTTTTTCCAAATTATATAATTGGAAATAAAAGTAAACATTAATTATAAAGGCATTTTAGTCTAAAATTTTCAGGATTAACTAACTTTTTTAAACTGAGTTGATTAAAATTTGCTTATATTTGGAAGGGGGGATTATCTCTGATACATGGGAATTGGGAGTAATAGGTGTAATTTGGGATGTAAGGGTATTAGAGATAGAAGGGGGAGAGAGAGAGAGAGAAGAGGCAGAAGAAGAATAGAGACGAAGAGAGAGATTAATTCCATTCATAATGACCCCTTACAACATAAAGGTGATGAAATATAAAAATTAATATATTTTGAAGAAACCTCTTATAGGAAGAAGCCTAGGCTAGTAGCTTATTACTATTTTATGTTGCTTGTAAAAAGCCTATCTAGGAATAAGCAAGTTACTTTTGTGTTATTTCAATACTTTTGTAAAGAGAGAAATCTGAACATTAGCTTTATCTAGAAAGTTTAGTTTAAATAGTTTAGGCTTTGCTCTTGTAAGGACACTTTTGACGAATGAGTTTTACGTGTAAAATCTGATAGCTGTCTCCCTCTCTGCGTTCTGCCTCTCCCTCATGCTCCACCACTGTTCTGTCTTCATCTTCTTCATTTCTTTCTCCCTGTTTCTGGTTTCTCTCTGCTCTCTCCCTCTATTCAGATCTGTGCAAGTGTGTGTGAGTGTGTGTCACATCAAAAGGCCTATTTATAGATAATATAACTAAATACCCAAACTACCCTTATATCCCAAATTACCCCTATTACTCCTAATTCCCATGTATCAATCTCTTATAGTGTATCTTGATCCTTGTTCTTGACAAATGTACCATCCCCAGGATCCAGTACTCTGTAGTGTGACGGTTGGTGTTTCCCACTTTGAAAGATGTGCCCTTTGGACTCAAGTCATGTACTACCCTTTCTATGGAAGTGGTGCTGTTGGAGACTATGAAGGTGACTACACCGAAGAGGATCCTCAAATTGTTAGACAGAAGAGAAGCTTAAGGCCCGAATTAGGGGAACCTGTGATACTGAGATGTCAGCCATACAAGATTCCGTTGACTGAGCTTCTTTTGCCACATCAAATCTCACCTGTTGAATTTTTCCGGCTGTGGCCCAGTTTGCCAGCTGTGGTTGAATACACTGGTACATATACCTACGAAGGAAGCGGCTTCCAGGCTACCGCAGCCCAGCAGTATGGAGCTTCTCCTTTCTTAAGTGGATTGAAATCTTTGTCTTCCAAGCCATTCCACAAAGTTTGTTCACATATTATCCGTACTGTGGCAGGATTTCAGGTTTGGATTTATTTCCAGTAAATATGTTCTCTGTAAACTGTCTTCCTGGTTGAATCAATTTACTTATTGTCATTTTTCTTATGAAATCTGCTGATATGCAGCTTGCCACAAGAATCTGAATTAATGTTTTCACTTGGATTGTACTTTTTTTCGAAACAATAATAACACACCTAGTTCAAAAGAAACCTAACCACAGATTAAACTAAAGGGATTATGCAACTTTTAGTTCCTCAATTTTGTTTCTATTATTAATTTAGTCCCACAAATTTAATTTTTATTAATTTAGTCATTTAAATTTACCTCGATTATCTATTTGGTCTATATTGCTTTAAAAAACAAAAAAGTTACACACTATTAAAATTTGCTGACATGAATAGCAAAATCTTGATGCAATCATGTAGATTAATAAAAGAAATGTAATTATTTAGTTAGAAAATAATAAACTCTGAAATTTTAAAAGCAGGAGACTAAAATACAATGTAAGCAATTGTATTGATAAAAATTAAACTGATTTGAGGATAACTCATTCTCATTTGGCTATATATATATATATATATATATATCAAGTCATCAGTATAATTTATGCATTAGATTTTTTTTTTGAGAGTCAAACTTAATGGACTTACATAATAATTTAAGAAAATATAAAGGATGAAATTGATAAAAATTGAAACAAAATGGAGTTAGGATGGGATCAGCATGGTATAATTTATTGAATCTTTTTTCTCCTGCTGCAACAGCTGTGTTATGCTGCAAAAACTTGGCATGGTGGCTTCCTAGGCTTGATGATTTTTGGTGCCAGTGAAGTGAGTAGAAATGTGGACCTCGGTGATGAAACCACCACCATGTTGTGCAAGTTCGTGGTTCGAGCATCTGATGCATCAATCACGAAGGAGATCGGGTCGGATCTTCAGGGCTGGCTTGATGACCTTACTGATGGCGGCGTGGAGTATATGCCGGAAGATGAAGTGAAAATAGCCGCCGCTGAAAGGTTGAGAATCTCAATGGAAAGGATAGCCATGTTGAAGGCAGCTCAACCGCCTCCAAAGTCTCCAAAATCAGAAGAAGACGAGGAGGAGAAGGAAGATAGCGAGGATGAAGAAGACAAAGACCAGAAGAAGAAAGAAAAGGATGATGATAAAGATGAAAAAACGAAGGGACCTTCAACACTATCAAAATTAACTGCTGAGGAGGCTGAGCACCGAGCTCTTCAAGCAGCTGTGCTTCAGGAATGGCACATACTATGCAAAGATAGAAGCACTGAAGTAAACTAATTGTCACTAATAGAAAGGTTTGATTGAGTAAATTCTTTGTATTCTTGTGTACTGATTCTGTGTATGGATATATAACAATTTGAGGAATCTAAAATCTGGTCAAATCGTGCTCTCCAGTTTTGTCTCCTTTTTTTTTTCTTTTTTGCTTCCCACTTCTTCAGGAACGAGCTTTGTACTTTTTGTATTGTATTGTATTCCATTTCATTGTATGTGAAAGTTATTTAGAAATATGAATCTTTCCTTTTTGGCCTGCATTTTCTTTTCTTTCACATACGTACGTACGTACGTTCGTGTTAGAGTGACGGAGGTAGTGACAAAGGAAAATTTGTTTTAATTTGTTTTAGTTTGTTTTTATCATTTAATGATGTCATGTTTCTATGGGTACAGAACAATTATTTCATGTTTAATTTCTAATTTTTTTGGCCAAGAATTAATAATTATGTCCAGATTAAAAGTTACTCCCTCCATTCAAAAATATAATATTTTTTGAGAGTATTGGCTGTTAAAAAATATAAGGTATTTTGAGTCTTTTAAGATGTAATTATTATCTTTTTTTAAGTGCTCATGTTACTTTATATTTTTGTAGGGTAAAGCATTTTATTAAATAGGGATAAATATAAAAAGATATGGTTTATTTAAAAATAAATTCTTTATTGGGGTAAAATTTAGTTAAAAATTTTAATGAAGAGAGTATACTTAAGTTTTAAGGCTTTGATTTGAGTTAAATGTTGAAGATAGACATTCTGCTTATCTTAGTAGTACTTTTTATGGTATTATTTTGAGAAAACATAAAGAATAAAACGTTTATTTTATTTATTCTTTTTATTAGGATTAAAAATATTGAAACTTTTGTGTGTCAATATATTTATATATATAGATAAATTATATCTATATATATATAATTTATAGCAAGGCTTACAGAAACTATAATAAATAATACAACTTCTCAAATTTTTGGAAAAGCTTATATATTTAACCTAATAAATACTTCAAAACATGTGGATTCTTTTTATATTTGTTGTATAACAAACTCTTGTTATTAATACTCTTAATCCATTAAAATATATTTATTTTGATTTAATTGGATAAAAGTATATTAAGTAAATAAGGTTAAGTATCTAAATTTTGTCCTTTTATATAATATATGTTCTTAAATTGTATATAAAATTTAAAGCAAACATAGTGCAATTCGGTTGGAAAATTAATTTTATTTCATATTTTTGTTATATGATTGAAAATATGGAAATTTTTCAATATAAATAATATAACAAGTCTCATTGTTTATAAATTACGGATGGTATGGCTTTTTATCACAATTTTTTCTTTTATTCTCTATTAAATGTTAGTAGAAAAAAAATGTTATTAAATATATATATATATATATATATTGAATAAAGACATAACTGAAAAATTATTAATTTTTTAAATTAATAAATTTTAATATTTTTCTTAATTTTGATAAAGCATATCAAGAATAACTTATGAATAAAGTTGGAAGTAAAATGCAAGATTTATTTTTTAGGGCTGCACATGGGCTCAACCTGATGTGTGATTTGGACCAACTTGGCGCCAAATGTTCAAACCAAGTTTACCCTGATCCAAATGAATTTTTTGTGAAAAAATAAATATAGAAAATATCTTTCAACAAAAAATATAACTACTATCATTTAAAATACATTCTCTATAAAATTAATATCAGGATAAAAAGTAAATATTTTAAAATTATATATGGTTAACAATTATCATGTATTTTTACATACTATTAAATTAAAAATAAATTTAAAATTTTGAAAAATAATAAAAATTTAAATAATGTTATAAAATATCATAAAAATAATACAGTACATGATAAATCTAAAAAAAAACTATAAAATAATCATTTCACAATAAATTAAAAAATACATATATAATACATTCAAGTCAATTTGGGCAAGATTTCACTCCTGTTCACTGGGCAGTTTATCAAGATTTTGAGCTACTTGCACAACCAATAACCATGATATTTATTACAAGTTATGCCACTCACAAACTTTCAAGGTTCACTCATTATAAAAATATTATTAGCATTGAGATGCAAAGTATCTTTTCCTAAATTTTATCAACAAGTTTATATATATTTACCAATATGATGACATTTTGCTGCAATTGCAGATATATTGTCCATTGCTATTGAATTGTTGTGCAAGTTGTGGCAGATAAAGTGTAATATAAAGACCAATCTGATTCCGAAAAGTGGAAACTGGAAAACGACATTTTAGATTGACATAGTATTAGTATTGGGCCCATGTCATGCACGTGGCACTGACACATGGGTTTGGGCCCATTGGTCGGCCCATTATCCAACTAGTCGGCCCGCTTTATGTACTGAACAATTCCCTGTGTTCTGCGGTCCCCTTTTTTCTCTCAAATATTGACGGGGACTAAGAAAGTGACATAAAGTTTCAAAAATAAAATTAAAAAAATTAAATTAAATAAGTTGTTTTAAAACTTTTTTTGACCTGAAAATTATTTTAAAACTTACTTATTTAAATAAATAATAAAATAACATATTCGTTAAAAATGTTAGTTAAATCAAGTCAAAGAAATTGGATACTCCTCACACAATGACTCCATGCAAGCCTATGGGTGAGAAAAAAATCACTGAGAAAAATATGTTTTATTTATCTCAATAATAATATATTATTATTAGTGTGCTATAATTAATTTCCCTAATATTTTTGTATTCCCTTTATTTTGGGGCAAAAAAGCAAAGATTAAAATCTTCATTGTAATAAATTATACGTATATATCACCAAAATATTTTAAATGCAAAAAAAAAAAATCTCTACCCCAAGATTTTAAATGTTTCCTATGGTTAAAAACTTTTATATATAGCATTCTTTATATTCCTAATTATACTTTGTATATATCAAATATAAATCATTAATATGTGATAAAATATATGGAAAAAATATATATCAATTAAATGAGATAATAAGACTTTTGTCACAACTCGCGATGTTGAACTGCAGGGCAACCCAGCTCCTTTATACAGCTTTACTGTGCCAATAGCAATTATGGTTATAGTATTATTGGCCCTGCCACGCACTTTTTTAAGGCTAAGTTATACAAAATTATCTTGAATTTTGGGGACGTTTTGCAAAACTCTTTACTTTTATAATTAATTTTTTAATTATTTTTATGCAAACGTTCATACCGTTATTTTTTAGTAGTTATTTTGCTAACAAAATTTGAAGTTTCATTTGTGTGTGTGTGTGTGTGAGTTTACGTTGCATCTGATATAAGTTAATAATAACAAAAAATATGAACAAAATTTTTATAAAGGCGTTAGTAGTTTATATTGGACACCAGATAAGTTGCCAGCCTTTTTTTTTTTTTAAATATGGCATGGCAATTTTTGTCAGTAAGATAACCAAAAAACAACGATAAGGAGTCTATAAAATTTTTATAGTAAAAAATAAAAGTGAAGGAAGGTTAATTTAAAATTTTTAAAATTGAAAGAGTTACATGCAATTGTCTTAAAATTTAAGAGAATTTTATATATTTTAACATTTTTTATTTGAGAAATTTTTATAGAGTTTTTATAATCTAATTTATTATTGAGATTAATTATTAAAAGCCAACAGTTAAATATTGCTTTTAACAAATATTAAATATTTGTAACACATTCTCTCAGTCATATTTTCTAGGATTTTTTTTTAGATAATTTAATATCCTACAATATAAGGCGTTTTAAAAAAATAATATTTTATTAATGATATTTATTTCAATATTATCTCTCATTATTTTATTCTTTAAATTAATAAATTTATTTTTATCTCTTTTTAATAAAGGGTATTTTAAAAAATTTATGAAAAAAATTTGAGTTTGTAAATTATATTTAATAAACTTCATTTATATTTGTAATTTTTTTCAAAAATTTCCTTATAAATTTTCACGAAGTTGGTATTTATTAATTATAACCAATTTTAACACTTTTCTTTAATACTTGTTAGTCTCAATTTACAAGAAATTTTTAAAAAATATTTTTCCCCTGTAATTTGACAACAATAAAATTTTATTAATAATGCCTTTTAATATTATCATTTTTATTATTATTTTAATATTTTTTCATAAATTGAGTATTAAATAAAAATATTTTTTAAATTTATATTTTTATTTGAAAAGAGAAGATTATATACCATATTTGATGAGATTTTTGGCATGCATGATTTTACTTAAAGTAGTACTCCTTTCATTTCAAAATATAATATAATTTTAAGAAAAATTCAACATCCAAAAATATAAAATATTTTAATTAAAATAAAATTTTATTAATAATATTTTTTTAATATTATCATTTTCATATACTCTCTCTCTTTAATATTCTTTCATTAAATAAAATATTAAATTAAAGATATTTTTAAAAAATTTATATTTTTATTTTAAAAAATTAAAATTATAAAATGTATTTAATAAAATTTTATTGATATGTAAAATTTTATTTAAAAATATTTTATAATTTAATATAGAGAAAATAATAATAATAAATTAATTATTTTTTGACCTGTTGTCTCTTGAAAAAAAAGCTGTGGAAGGGATCAAGGGAATACCAATATTATCCGAAATGACGAAATGACGAGAGTACCCCTGTGGGATATTTTGGCGGGGAATGATGGCATCTACAGCGAGGAGGCGCCGAGCAACATGATGCTGATCGTGATGATGACTAGGAAGGATTCTTTCGCTCTCTCTCTCTCTATCCATGACTCAGCGGGCCCCACATTGCCCTCTCTCTGATTTAGGGAGCCCCACATTCTCCTCTCTCTCTCTCTCTCCCCCTTGGGAATCAATCTAACTGTCCTCCATTACCCGCAAATCAGTGCTGGCTTTCACGACAATCATAAAATCGTCAATTTAAATTAGCCATTCCGATTTTTGCTAATTATGGTAACCGTATTAATTAATCTTCATCTCCAATCTCTCTACCCGTGCAATTAGAAAAATGACATTTTTTTTTTCATTTCCACGTTTTTGGTATTTAGAATATATATTAAAAAAATTAATTTTTTAATCCTTCAACTTTTAAGTCACTTGCAACTCAATTCCTCAATTATGACTCGCTGTAACTCAATCCTTCAACTATGACTCATGTCTAACTCAATTCCTCAACTTTTGAATCACTTACAAATTAGTCTCTTAATTTTTGTTAAATTTTTTTATGTTAACTTATATCTCACATTAATGAGCCAGGGAAGGATATTTTAAAATAATA